TTCAGGGACAGCTCCCGCTATCCCAGGTGGCTCCAACCTGGCCTTGCACACTCCCAGGGATCCAGGGGCAGCCACAGCTTCTCTGGGAATTCCAGCCCAGCCCCTCCCCACCCTCCCAGCCAGGAATTCCTTCCCAATCTCCCCCCCAAATCTCCCCTTTCCCACTGGGATCCATTCCCTGTGTCCTGTCCCTCCAGCCCTTGTCCCTGGTCCCCTCTCCAGGGATATTGTGCTCGGACAAGGAAGGAGAATCCTCCACCCAGCAGTTCCTGCTCCTCCATGATCCGTTCATTCCTCATCCCATACATTTGGAAAGACTCCCCGGAGGCTTTTTGGGGATGCTTGGGGTCAAGAAACACATCCCAAGGGATCTGCTTCCCGAGGGCCGACTGGATGGATCCCGGCGTGTGTCCTCATCACCCGGAGAGCAGATCCCTTGGAAAGAGGTGTCCAAGCCCCCCTTGGCACCGTGGGATCCATGGATTTATCCCAAACTCAGCTCCAGGGTGAGGCTCGGCTCCAGGACCAGCCTGGATTCAGAGCTCGGACTCGGAAAAACATGAGAAAGGTTCGTCCTTCCCAACAGACTCCAGGGAAAAAGACTCACAGGGAGCCTGGAAAAGCCTGTGGAAGGAGGTCACGGCCGCCCCTATCCTGGAATTCTTTCCCTAAATCAGGTGGGAAAGCTCGGTCCTAAGGGGCAGCCGGTGCAGCAGCTGGGAATGATCCCGGGATTCCAGGGGGAACCCCTTTGTGTTCCCTAATTCCAGCACGGAGCAAGAGGCTTCCCACCAAATGCTAAAGAAACGTGGATTCCTCGGGAATCCGGCAGGAAGGGAAGGCTCGGGATGAGAACGATCCCAAAAAATCCTCCCTGAGCGCCCCGGATTCCCGAAACCACCCCACGAATGGGGATAAGGAGCCTCCAGCCCTCCTGAGGATGGAGGGGAAAGGCCGGGAATGCCGAGGGGGAGCGGGAGCCGGGAATTACCTCTGGGCCGTGTCGCAGGGGGATCCCTTCCTCTTGCGGGAGTCGGGATTGGCGGGATCCGTGGAGCTGTCGCCCAGGCCGCTCATGGTGCCCCACCTACTGTGCGCCTGGAAAAGAGGGAAAACAGGGATCAGGGGGAGCTTTCTGGGGCGGAAAACGCGGATCAAGCGACCTCTGGAGACACACCGGGAGTCTTGGTTGTGGAATTGGGTGACTCGTCCGGGAAGGAAACACGGGATTTTCCTTCCAGGTGTCCCCTCCCGGTCACCACGTGGCCAATCCAGCCCTCACCACCAT